ACCAGTGGCGGATACAGAAATTTTTCATAGGGGGGGCGGTTCCCAAGTTCCTACCCCCACCCCCCCAGTCTACCATCATTCCTCTTCCTTTCACCTTTTTTATTTTTCATCTGGGGTAAGAACTTGAGTTTCTATTTCACTAGCTCCAATAAAATGTAATGCAGATGCTATTTTGAATAAATAAATCAAATGCCAACCTGGCCATAGGGGGGGCGGTCGCCCCCCCCGCCCCCCCCCCCTGTATCCGCCACTGCTCAGAAATAGGAATCTTCTCAGCTATGAACTGTGGTATGGAAGCAGTGGTGCTCTTGCTTTCAAGCAAAAATATGAGGAGAGGGGGAAAAAATACCGGGACACGGGTTCAATTTTGTTGAAAACCGGGACAAAAGTCGGGACAGTTTCCAAACCGGGACAGAGCCTGAAAAACTGGGACTGTTCCGATAAAATCGGACTGGGTCATCCTAGAGTAGAAAATAATAGGAAGAACCCTCATAAGGACTGCAGACTGGACAATTGACTTGATCATTTTTCCTTCGATGCACACACACACACACACACACAGACATACGTACACACAGCGTACACATACATGGCCGCCTGGTAGCTGACTGCAGCTTCTAACGCGAAACCAGCCAGGCCGACAATAAATGCATACTTTGTTTGCTTTCAAGTCCTCGTATGAGGGTTTCCTTTTCTGGAAAGCTTTTCGCGATGGAGAAGCTGAAACAGGAACTGTTAGATGTAAAGGCTAAATGTGAAAAATGTATCCCAAACAGTGAATTGGTAGCTTGTGTCCCGGCTCAGGTCCGAGTTAATATCGTGTAAGTTTTTATTATTGGTTTGACTTCTGACAGGCGGAGAACCACTGCTTTAGGCCTGATGATTATATGGATTTATCCGCAGGAAGACCAAAAACAAGCAGTTGACAGCATGCTTGCAGTTCCCAGAGGACTATCCCAACAAGCAAGTCTTGATTGAGTTGAAGAGCAAGTCAATATGTGACCAGACCCTTGCTCAGCTCACTATCATTTGTGATGATGCAGCCAAGAAGCATCTTGGCCAGCCTCAGGTGGGAGATGAAGTGCTTTGTTGTTGCATGTTGTGTGTTTGGTATCATCTAGTTACTTGTCAAGCAATGTTTTTGGGTTGAACTAACCCCAATTCCATACATGTAACCTGGTTTAACTGACTTGAGGGACTCCTCCAACTTTAACTTGGTCTATAACTTGACACAAGATGACATTCCTAGGCTTAATCTGACCCAAGGCTGCATTGGTATCAAGAAATGTTGAAGAAGGAGTAAATAATGTGTCTGAGACAAGGATTCTGTCTCTTCCATTATTTTTCTCTCCTGGTGACTTCCTGGCTTGAGAACTTCTATTCTTCCTTTTTTGTTATGTTAAGAAAGATAGGATTTAAATCAAGTCCAGGGGGTAAAATCAAGACTTATGTCTATTTGCTGAAATCTCATTTAGCAGATAGTTTATTTTATTAATCCACAGACTCTCATGGAGAGGAACTCTTAAGCTTAAATGTTCTTCTTATCTCACCTAAATTAGGTTTTAACATTTGGGACTTAAAAGCTAAGGCCAAAATTATGGTCCATAGGATACATGTGAGCAGACCTACCAAAGGTAATACTTATAAGGTCATGAGGAGTTGACAATGACAGATTAGCAGTGACCTTGCCTACCTGAAGAAATGCAGAAACCACACTGTCAGTTTTACCAAGGACAGACTTAGAGAGTGCAGATGTTTACACTTCTTCACAGTAGTAATGAATGTTTTTATGTGGTGTCTCTCAACTGTCCTTGACAGCAGTATCAGATAGGGAGGTGGAAAGACTATCTGAAAACACTGTCTGAGACCATGTTTCCACAACTGGTGTCTCCTTTATAACCCCTTCTGTTGTTGTTTCCCCCCCCCCCCCCTCCTCCCTTCAGCCTATTATTAGGCCTAATGCTATGCCACTTCTCTGCTTTTAAAAAATGAGGCACCTTCTATGTGACTTTTTTTTTCTATTTTCTAATATTTTGACTACATGTACAAAAAAGTAAATTTTATAGGAGGATCTAGGACCAAAGGCCATATAAACTGACAGGGACTAGAGCCATAGGCATGGGAGATGGCAGGACTGTTATTTTCTTTAAATATACAATGTGTATGTAAATACTGTTTTGCTATCCCTAGTATTAACACATAGCTCTGCTTACAATGAGCAGGTTATTAAGTTGCCATACATGGCTTGCTTTCTCTACTTTTTGCTCCCATAAACTTCTGTTATCACCATGCAGCAGTCTCATAGCTCTAATATCTGCTTGCTCCCCCATATCAAATATAGCATCTGCAACTAAAACAAGCATGAATCACTCTTGGTGGGTCTGTTTCATATAATTTTATCTTTCTGTTCTCTTAAATCACCTTCTTTCATAATATTTGTGTCAGGTCAACCTGAACATCCAGCTACTGAGTTCATTTTAACATCACCATATGCATTACTGCCCATGGGTGAGGTGTAAATAGAGTCCATTTCACACTTTGCATTTCTTGCAGCAAAATTGCATGCATCCGAATAACTTAAAATTCAAGGAAACATGGGTATGCATGCTTATCTACATGGCATTCACAGGGAAAGTAGAAATGCTTTGGTTATGTTTCAAATTGAGTTCTGTTCATTTCTGAATGCCAACACCTAGTTATTTCCCCTTTGTTTGCAGATTGTATTTCCTCCTTAGTAAAGGCATGTGGTAGATGCATTCAAACTTGCATGTGTTCCCTTTCAATGCAAATGAGCATGCAATTGCATGCTTGCTTTCATATCTGATTGGAAAGAAAGTTCTCGGAATTTCATGAACAATTATTACAACCCAGTTTATTTAAAAGCAAAATCATCTCAATCATGAATGTAATCACCATTGGCCTCTATCACTTCACGCCAACGTTTATGCAAACTATGGATGCCATTCCAATAGAACTCTGGCGGCTGCGCTACGAAAAAGTTGGCNCAAACGCGGTATTGATGTCAGCGATGGAATTGGCTGCCTTCTTCTTGATTCGGAAGTCATAAAGAAGAAGCAGGCGAACTTGCTCCTTAGTAAGAGGGTAGGGCTGGTTCATGGCTGGAGAGCACCAGGGCTGTAATAATATATGGTTGTATGCCGAAGGACACGACCTACTTATAAACACACGCAGAACATTCTAGCATGCTCTGGAAAAAAATTGTACTGGATATTCAAGAAATTCTGAGAACTTTCTTTCCAATCAGATACATGTGAACACAGGAAATGCAATGTGTGAAGTGGCCTTATTGATGAGCAACTATTATATTCATGAAAGCAAGTGGACTGATGATCAGTTTTCCTAATGAATACATCTTATGACTCTCTGACCTGCTTCTTAGTTACTTCTTGCTACCAAGGTGAGGCTTCAGCATTTTTAACTTTAGTCAAACATTTTTATAACATGGACACCCACTCATGGGGAAGTGTTTGGGTATCTCAGTCAAGTGGAAAATACTATGCTGCAGTTAGATTATATACAAATTAAAAATAATGACAATCCAGAGGGAAAGTAAACACCTTGAACTGGGTTTTTCCAAGTTCCCGATGTACAGCCAATTCAGGAAATATTGATCTTTTAAATTAGTTGTAAAAAATGCTATGCCCATTGGAAAGGGTCACTTGCAAATTTGGAAACTCCCAGTAATGAATCACCTTTTGAAGCAAGATTTTGCTTTCTTGATCATACTTCCTCGCAATTGAGTCCTGAGTAAGTAAGAAGGTTGCTCACAGATTTACAAAGCCTTTGGATTAAATTTCTGCTCCCCTGACATATTTGACAGAAATTATAGCTGTTCAGATGAATTGGTCCTCACAGTAGGCTTTGTTATGTTCATAGCACATTTCTTCCATGTCATTTCCATTTCATTTTCCAGATTCTTCTTGTTCTCAGACTCATAGGAGAATTCCTGGATAACAATCCCCTCTGCATCTGTGCAAATGAAATTGCTTCCATTAAGAAGCTTCTGACAGATAGTGATGAACTGAAACTGAGGCAGGCAACTTCTTCTCTCACATTGAAAGTTGTATGTCAGAAATATTTTCTCTTCTGCAAGATTGCCATCCCTGAAAACTATCCTGAGGAACAAGTTGGGTAAGAGTGATTGTACATCATCTCTACTAATCATTTGTATATATCACTATCAGGACGGATTCTTCTCCATGCAGGATTGTAGAAAAGGAATGCAATTTCCCATCTTCATTTTTGAAGTGGTTTATTGCACAGTCCGTAGAGATTGCCCGCCAATGTGTTCAACCTCCCTTGAAGAAGGATCCCAAAGCTCCTGCATTTGTGTGCAAACCTTCATTATGGCCTGTCGTTAGCTTCATTGTTGAGACTGTTAAGAGATATCCTTGTGAAAAATGCCACGTATGTGGAACTGTCTGCTTCCCTGAGAATCCAAAGGTCAGTAGTAAGCGTCTTTCAATTTCTGCATAGCATCTGAATTCAGAGTGTCATGTTTTTCAGGAAGTAACTGTTAGTATATGCACAATAACATTGCAGGTTTTCATTTTTTTTCATTGTAGGATGTGGTGAATGATGAGAGAAGTGGAATGTCCATTAAACGAATACATTGTGGACATATTTATCATCTTCGGTGTCTCCTCAAGTACATGAAGAAACCTCCATTTCAAGGTGATTTTAAGGAAAAAAAAATTAATTACAATCTTTTGTAGTGCAGACCTACTGTTTACCAATAACATACATGGTGGGCCAAAAAAAAACCGCCCCAAATTTGAAGCTTCATGACTTGGACCCCGTTGGGCCAATATCAATTTAAAAAAAAATTAAGCTTGTATAATTTTCTTTCGAATGATATATAATTTGGGGGGGGGGGGGGGGGGGGGGGGGGGGGGGGG